GTTCGTCTCCAGGAAAAGGCACCCAACTCAGCGTGGGAGACGCGGGCTGGGTCTTCCCTGAGCCCCTGTCCAGCCTCCGGGAGATGCCCCCCTGCCCTACAGCGGGGCCTGGAAAGCGCTTATTGAATGGGTCAATCAGAGTGACATTAGGACGAAGAGGTGCCAGCCTCTCAGATCCTGCTCAGCAGAGGACCCAATGGGGCGTCAGAGTCAGCGCACGGTTCATCCCCCCACACACGTTTCACACGTTTCTACGCCTCCACTCCTTTACGGAACTTCTTCCCAGGTAACGTACCCCCTGTTTACCCACACTGTCCATTGTCTGTCTCTGTCTCTGTCACACACACACACACACACACACACACACACACACACACACACACGGCAGCGCTGTGAGGCATTTCCATCACTTTCATTCATTGCTTAAGCCCCCAGTGCCCACACAGCCCCTGTCACCTCAGACACCCAACAAGCGTTTGCTGAGCGAGCAAACATGGGAGTGAGTGAATGGAGTGGCAAACAGAGTCGCGGTGGGGTGAGGGTGGAGAGGAATTAGGTAAACACCACCACCCAGGCTCACTTTTGAGGTTTTGATTTTCTTGGGTTCAGTTGAGGCCCAACCGTTAGAACTTTCTAAGTCCCCAGCTGCTCTTACCGCCAAGTCTGGTTGGGAACCACTGTCTTAACCCTGTGCACCTCCTCACCTGCTGCTGAGCTCCTTTAGAGGCTCCCAATGCTCTCAAAATATAATCGGAGTGGAGTGGAGTGGAGTGGAGTGGAGTGGAGTGGAGTGGAGTGGAATGGAGTGGAGTGGAGTGGAGTGGAGTGGAGTGGAGTGGAGTGGAGTGGAGTGGAGTGGAGTGGAGTGGAGTGGAGTGGAGTGGAGTGGAGTGGAGTGGAGTGGAGTGGAGTGGAGTGGAGTGGAGTGGAGTGGAGTGGAGTGGAGTGGAGTGGAGTGGAGTGGAGTGGAGTGGAGTGGAGTGGAGTGGAGTGGAGTGGAGTGGAGTGGAGTGGAGTGGAGTGGAGTGGAGTGGAGTGGAGTGGAGTGGAGTGGAGTGGAGTGGAGTGGAGTGGAGTGGAGTGGAGTGGAGTGGAGTGGAGTGGAGTGGAGTGGAGTGGAGTGGAGTGGAGTGGAGTGGAGTGGAGTGGAGTGGAGTGGAGTGGAGTGGAGTGGAGTGGAGTGGAGTGGAGTGGAGTGGAGTGGAGTGGAGTGGAGTGGAGTGGAGTGGAGTGGAGTGGAGTGGAGTGGAGTGGAGTGGAATGGAGTGGAGTAGAATGGAGCAGAGTAGAGTGGAATGGAGTGGAGTGGAGTAGAGTAGAATGGAGTGGAGTGGAGTGGATTGTAGTGGAGTGGGATGGAATGGAGAGGAGTGGAGTGGAATTGAATGGAGTGGAATGGAGTAAAATGGAGTGGAGTATAAAATGCAGTGGAGTGGTGTGAAATGGAGTGGAGTGGAAGGGAATGGAGTGGAGTGGAAGGAAGTGGAGTGGAGTGGAATAGACTGGAGTAGAATGGAGTGGAGTGGAATGGAGTGGAGTAGAATGGAGTGGAGTGGAGTGGAGTGGAATGGAGTGGAGTGGAGTGGAGTGGAGTGGAGTGGATTATAGTGGAGTGGAATGGAATGTAGTAGAATGGAGAGGAGTGGAGTGGAATGGAGTGGAGTGGAATGGAGTGGAGTGGAGTAGAGTGGAGTAGAATGGAGTGGAGTGGAGTGGAATGGAGTGGAGTGGAGTGGAGTCGAATGGAGTTGAATTGGAATGGAATGGAATCAGGATGGGATGGGATTGGATGGGATGGAATGGAATGGAATGGAATGGAATGAGATGATCCCAAACCTTGCTCAATCATCAGCACCTCCTTACCATGGACCATGGGCACTACCATCCCACCTCCTCTCCATCTTTACCCCTCTCTCACTTCACCTCCCACCATTCTCCCTCAATTCTCCTTCTTTCTTTCCCTCAAATACATAAACCTGTACCTACCTCAAGGCCTTTGCACGTACTGTCACCTGCCTAGTCTGCTGTTTCCTCACATAGCAGTTTCCTCATTCATGTCACAGCACAATGCCACCTCCTCCAAGAGGCCCTCCCTGACTGTCCTCTGGCAGTAGTGTCTCTCCCTGCCACCCTCCATCTCATGAACCTGTTTATATTCTTCACAACGTTAATTACTATTTGAATTTCTCATATGTATTGTTGGTCCACGTGTTTATTGGCTGTTTCCATGTAGGTTAGTAAAGGCAGGGATCTTGTCATCCGTTCACACCAAGAACAGTTCTTGACACATAGTAGGTGTTTGGTAAACATTTATTGAATGAGTGAGACTCTATATATCTCCCTCCCTCCCTCCCTCACTCCCTCCTTCTCGCCCCCCACAGGCTCCAGAGGAGACCTAACTGTAAATATTTGAAGACGCGCAAGCTGCTTTGGAGCACAGCAGAGATTAGTCTTCCTCGATGTTTGATGCTCAATCAATGTTCGACGTGGAGGCCTAATATCAGGGTCCCAGCTGCTAAGTGTCATGTGCTGGGAAATGACAAGTGAGCCTCGCTGAGAGGATAGCAGAGACTGCGATTGCTCTCTGTTTTACTGTCAATTAAATCCTGGCTCAGACGCTGGTGGAGGGAGCCAGCAGCTGGGATGTCAGGGGGAGGGGGAAGGGGGAGGGAGGAAGGGAAGGGGCGGGGCTCCTGGCTCCCACCTGCCGCAGCC